AAGGAGAAAGACTGTAAACCGGTATGACCATTTGGTGTGTGTGTGTGTGTGTGTGTCTGTCTGTCTGTCTGTCTGTCCTGTCTGTCTGTCTGTGAAAATCCGGGATGTCGGATGACATGTCATAAAATAAGGACAAATAAAAAATGTCCCTGTTACGTGTGGTTAGTTGTTATGTTTGACATGCGAACTTACTTGTTAACTAGTAAGTTCGTTTACTCGTAGTAACATTTACACGGTACAATGTTGGGCAGGGCAATGTTGGCAGGGTCCTGTGGTCAGAACGAAAGTGGGGGACACCTTGGACGGACTAACGATCGAACTGGGGTATAAATCGATCATATAAAACATCGACATGTTTTTTCCCTAAGACTTATTAAGATCAAACCTAAGGATCTAGTAAACTTGAGTTGTGTCATATGTTTTTTATGTAGTATAGTAAAATCAACCTAAAAAATGGAGTCTTTGTGTGAAAACGACTATAGAATGCGCTCTTTATAGTTTACACCGAGGAAAAAAGAGTCGCTAAAATGGTAGATTGACAACACGCGTACACCGTCTCACTCAAAGTAGTAGATTCGAACAAACAACTAACCTCTATAAGCATACCCGAGTCTTGTCAGAGTATTATGTGTGTACGTGTGTCTTCCAAGTGTAGAACATAAAGTACTAGGCGTTTTCCTAAGTGTGAACATAAAAGGCCTAGGTGTGAACACAAAAAGTTACGTGTGTGTGTAAAAAATGCAAAGTATATGTACATTTATTTTAGGTTTGGTCTTTTTTCAAAATGTTACATAAAAAACTAGGGGTAATAAACAAAAAGGCAATTTAGGGGACTTGGACGTTTGGTTTGGCGAAAGACACGTACCTTAGCGACCACGGTAAGCACACACCCAAAAAACTCTTGAGGGACTGTGAGATGGGCTAGCATGAACATTAAAGAGAGTAGATCATGGTTAGTTGTAAGAGGAGGTCTGATTCGGTTAGTGTACTCGCGCGGGGGTGCCTCCCATACTCAAATAACGAACCGCAAGTACTGTGAAGTATTATGCGTAAAACGGCGACAGGCCAGTCGAGCGATTCTGTCTCCCGCCTAGAAGGTCCACCTAGTACCATCTCGAGCCGTGCAGAGGCAGTCTGAGTCGTCGACTAGACTAGAGAGAGAGCGCAGGCCAAATATTGAAGTGAGCGCAAATAAGGTATTAGCTTGTTAGGTCGAGAGGACCTAGCCGAAATATCTCTCGTGGCTAGTTTGATAAATCTCACTTATAGCTGCTATTACTGGCCGCCCCCGAGGGGGGGCAACTGTCAAGTGACAGATCGTGACCGAAGCATCACGTGACTAGTTAATCCGATTCGATCCCCCCGGGATTGGGAGTGCCACTTGCCCTGCTGTAGAGGGCCTCAAATGAAGTTGAGAAGGGCAAATCAGTCAGGGAAGTGGCAAAGTCCCTGGATATATGCCATGTCACGTACCGGTTCCATACAATGAGGCTGAGGTTGGAGAGTCAGGGATCACAAACACCCCCAAGAGTATGCTAAGAAGGTGTTCTCAACAGAGCAGGTGATGCTTTTGAGAGACTATCTGATGGAGGCAGCTTATTATATTTATATTATGGTCTCAGCTCAAAGGAGGTAGGTCTACATAATTAAGGTAGAAGCACCTCTCAGAGAACAGTTTAATCCTTCACAGAGGATGATGCTGTGTGTTTTATCTGTTATCCTGTTCATTGTTTGTTGGAGGATGTGTGAAACCCCATTCAAATCTTGTTGCCTTAGAATTTGACAGCTTTCCCTATTTGTTGTCATGTAGTAGTGTGAAAAAAGCTAACCGTTATTAACATGTTACAACCGTGCCTGGCATGTGTTACAACTGTCCCTGTACACAAGGACAGTTGTAACAGTTGAGTTTAAAAAAATAAAATACATTTTCCAACCTGTACTTATTTCATAAAAACATCTTAAATACATTGTTTCAGTAGCTGACATATTGATAATGTATGTATAATATAGCAAAATGGCTATCCTATTGTAAATGGTTTTTTACTTATTGGGGAAAAGCCCAAAAAGTGTTGCAACTGTCCCTGGTCTCGCTATAATTTATTTTACTTGAGTCATGGATGTATACTGGATCCTCCACTGTAGTATTAAGAGATGAAACAGTGTTGGTACCTGTGGCTGCAGGGTCTGGATGCTGTTATTGGACATCAGGAGGATCTTCAGAGACCACAGCCCCACGAAGGACCTGCTGTGCACCTCGGTCAGAGAGTTCCCCCTTAGGTCCAGCAGCCAGGTGCCGTGGGGGACGCTGGGGGGGACCCGGACCAGGGCCTGGGCACGGCAGTCCACCAGGTCAGAGGACTGGTAGCAGAGGCAGGGGCTGGGGCAAACCCTGAAGCCCAGCCCCGGGGGGAGGAGGAGGGGCAGCACCAAGAGCACCGAGCAGCTGACGGCCATTTTCAGTTATATCTGTGTGATGCTGCTAAAAGGCATGTTACCTTCTCCCTACCAAGAGAGGCTGATATTGATGTAACCTCGGGAAATTGTCTATGAGCGTACACTGGATATTCATGATTAGAGAGGGATTATAGGCTTAAACAAATAATCACAAAACGTAACCGTATCTCGGGAGCAAACCAGGCCAGTTTTGGATCCTCTCCTAAAATAAGGATTTACATCTGCTGCTCTATTTGGATCATAAAGCTGTCCTTTTATATTGAAGCAGTTACTTCATATTGCCATGTCTGCATCACATTACAAAATATAAGATTATAAGGAGTTCTAAAACTAAACTGGTGATGAATGCTTACCATTTACAATGTGATAAGAAAAGTACTCAGGAAGCAGCACTTGGATTATTGGGCAAAATAACCCCTGCTTTGAAAACATTTTAATAATCTAGCAATATTTTACGTTATTTTCTAATAAAAACTCTTAAAGCTTTTGAAATGGGAACATTTTGTAGTATCTATGTCCTCAGCACATTCAATTAAATACTTTAGTACCAATTATCAGATAAATCATGACACTGCAAGGAAATTGCAAAACATATTTTCACTATGACATTTTATAGACCAAATCGACCAATAAAGAAAAATAATTGCAGACCTATGATCAGTCAGGAAAAATCAGCTACTGAAATCTAGCTTTCCCAATTATAAAAGCATAGAAATCACTGCTTTTCCACACAAGTCCAGCAGCAATAGCAGTATTAAGTCTTTAAATACATATTTTAGTAATGATTTCATGCTGCCATTTAACTGTAAAGGGCTCTGTGCCGTAAAGAGGATAGAAGTAAAATGTCAGAAAGCCGCTTTAGAGTAACCGGAGTCTTAACACATTTAAATGATTCATTATAAACAGTGATGGCTTCAGGTTCCTGTAATCACATGGCTGCATCACAACCAGGCTCCCAAACAATCTGTAGAAAGAAACCTGAGCATTGTCCAGAGAAACCTCCTCTGATGACGAGTGGGGACATCCTCATGGCCCCCCCCACCCCCAAGGAAAAGTGATGTCACGTTGAATTTTCCAAAACCCCACAAAGTGAAACAAGCTTAGTACTTCACCCTCAATAATGCCCAACAGTTGTTCAGAATGTGTTCATGTGTGTTCAGGAGTTCTTCAAAAAGTTGTTGAAAATTACAGTATTACAGTCAGAATTTTTGTTACTTTTATTTTAGAAAATGTCCTTTAAAGTGTGGCATTTCAAGTCACATTTTGTTTAAAATACAGAAAATACAGACAGTAGAACATGGATACAGCAAAAAAGGAAACGATGACAGAAAAATAAAGCTAACAAGCCTTTCTGACTGCTCTAGTTTTCTTTTTTTGAAATTGGAACTGAAGGCAAAGGAAGGAGGGCGGAAAAAGACAAAAGGCCTTCAGGGACAGGAGGGTTGTGGGAGGAAGGGTGAGGTGGGGTTGTGGGGGGGCCAGAATGAGGACAAGTTAGTTAAGGAAACTATGGTTGCTTTATGGTTCATGTTTAAATTATTCTTTATAAAGTCTAATTTAAGATTTAATCTTTCCTCTTTCTTTTTTGTCTTTTTTTTTCATTTAATGGTATTTTGATCTTCTGGATCCAGGGCCCACAGCGCTGCTCCTTGTGGTCTCGGACTGAGGACAAGGAATGCCGAATTAGTCTGGCAGTGGGAACAAAACCCCCGCGTCGCCTTCCCCGGCCGACCCGCGCTGCCAACTCAAGAAGATAAAGTGGAGTCCTTCTGTGTTTGCTGTGCTTGTGAACGTTGCATGGACTTCTGACTTTCCACGTCTCTAAAATGTTTCTCAACCTGCAAGAACGAAACCGTGACATTAAAAAAAAACCGGGGACACCATCTTGTGAATATCTAATTGAAATCATATCTTTCAGGACGTTGCTGTTCAGAGAGCAACAACGTGAAGCAGGCTATACAGTTTTACAAAGCGTTTCAGCGCGATATAAAACAGTTATTCAGAGACAGAAGGAAATACATTATAGCTTCACACAAATAATAACATGGAGGGTGTTGATGGGGAGGTATGCGCCAACCCAAGAGCTTTTTCTGCCGGTCGAACAGCATCTGAAACCAACTTCCTCTACAGCTTTCCAAAGATGGAGTTTGGGGGGGCTGTGTCCATCAGTTTCAGTAACTATGGGAAACCGAACAGACAGGGCTTCAATCAAGCTTTCTTGTCTCATTCCCAACTTTTTTGTGCTTTTATGTGTTTCTAAGTCTTGTTTGGTATGTCTTGTTTATAGTTTTAATGCCAACTTGGCCAGTGCTTTACAGTTCTTGACACCCAAAGAGGAAGATGGGAGGGATTAACCTGATTCAACCCAAACTCCGGAAGCTTTTTTTTTAACGAGTGTATGTTTAGCGGTAGAGGGGACACATGTTAAGCTGAATCAACTAGTTGATTGCTCTAAAAGTCAAGAACAAAACTTAATTTCAACACTGTTTTGATGTTGAATTCATCATTTCAGACTTCCTTTGCAGCTAAATGCAACACTGTGTTCCCAAATGGGAGGATTTACTTTTAAATCATATACACAACAGTAGATAGAGTATCTTTAGGTTATGCTTATTGGCTAGGCCATTTTCAACTAGAAGTGCTTAAAAAGCGCCACACAAGAAAGTTGGAGCACTCTGGGTGCAAGAGAACAAGTTGTGTATTGTTGGAGTATTATTGTAAAGATAGGAAGCATACTTACTATTTTGCGTACATGACTTAAAGCGCTTCCCTCTTTGCCTTTGCAGTTCTCAACCTGGTAAGGCGGCGAGATTACGACGTCGTCCATCACAATAATGTTCTTCTCCTGCCATTTACAGTCTTTGATGCTGCAGAGGAAAGAAAGATCATCACATCTGCAGCTCAAAATACTACGAGACACGACCGGAAATCACTTTCATTCTGTTGTCACATTTTCACTCCGCTGTAGGAATGTCATTACTTTGTTATCATTGGCACAGTCTCCACTCTAATGTTGACTATTTGATTTTAAATCAGGATATTTGTCACAGGATATAAAGTTCATAAGTCTCAATAGTTTTAATGCCTTGATAAAAACTGATGAGGTACTGAACTCGACGTTGTTCAGCTGCCCAAAGTAAAGTGTTGGACCGTTTACGTGGAGATAATGCAACAAAAACAAGACATTGTGTGATTACTAAAAAGCTATTGTCTATTGCGCATTTTTTCTCCTCTAGTCAGCCAAATCCTAAATGAACAAATAAAGCATCTAAAATAATTATTCCGTTTCTCAAATTGTGTCTTAAAAAAACCAAAACGTTTTAATTGAATTGACCGAGCTTAAAAAGGTGAGGTCATATTGTTGGGTCATCAGGAAAGAGGGGAAATATTTAGGGGTGAACAAATACGAGTGAATGTAAAGTTTGTCTGTGTCTAAGTACACAATACCTCTTTGAGAACAAAACACCGTCATTCATTCATGAAAGCTTAACCAGGGTTTGGGAATGCTAACAAGGGAGTAATGTATAAACCAAATCAGTTGCACTTTAATGCCTGAACGTACCGGTCAAAACTATCTAAATAACCCAAACTAAATATTTAATAATCAGAGCTCCTTTCCATTTGATAAAAGCAGCAGCCTGTTTCTGCCGAGTTGTCAGATTATTTTCAATTTTTACTTGTTCAGCTCTAATGAAAATCATTCAAATCCCTCTGGTTCCTTTCTGATCAGGTCTTTATCAGAGGTTACATGATGTGTGTCAAGGTCAGATTGGCTCTTGAGGACTTCTCAATAGAGGTAAGCAGTTACACTTTATTAGCATTTCAATATCAGCGTTATTTCATCTTAACGACACGTTTTGCTCTGCTGAGCGACCGAGCGGCCTGCAGTTCTTACGTTTTGTGAATGGTCTGGAATAGCTGTTGGCCCTCCACAGAAACCCCAGCACTGATTGCATAGGCTTGGGACAGCTTGTCCTCCTTTTCTGACCGTGCTCGATTGGCAAGCTGTGGGGAGTGGAGCAGAGAGGCATTGTTAACATCAAACAGTGTTTGATTTGACAGCTTTGAACAGGAACAGCTTTCTATTCTCATATTGCAAAAAGAACAGGACACTTTCAACATTTCTCCTCCACAGTCTTTTGGTAAATCTAAATATTTAGCTGTATGAGACTCAAGAATTACATTTCCCAAATCTGATTTGCATACATACTTGCACAACAAAGTGATCTCTATCACTGGCTGAACAATGAGAGTTTACATTTCTCTCCCAAGGGGGTGGAGCTTAGAGGAGCTATAACTCAGTAGAAAACACCACCAGGGTTAACACTGAGTTTGTTTTATAGCTCTGTCTATTTTTTAATAAGTATAAGAGCCATCGACAATAATCTGTTTTTTGTATTCTATTGGCATGAACTCGTTCAGGGGGCTGGATCCTCAGTAGTCCATATTTCTCGACTAACTAGATCATCACAAGTTAGCAAGGACGGCAAAGGCATATAAGGCATTTAAGCCTCGTTCAAGCCGAATCTATTATGGCTTGTAAGCTCTAATATACGTACACATGTGCTGACCATAATGAACATACAAAGTCACTCAATATTAAGTGACTGCCACACGCAGGCAACCTCCTTGGTACTGAAGACCAATGAAAAAGCCAGATGATATCAATCAACATTTTACTTTGAAGTTGGGTAGATTCACCAGAATGCACCTTCAGATTTGGTCAATTTGAGACGAGCGGGCGGTGCTTATGTTCATCCTCACATTCACCTATTGGAGAGGCTCTCAACTTTTTACAAGATAGAGGAAATACCTGGAAAACCCACAAGCATGTTCCTTGGAGTTATTTGACCAGTTTTATACTTTTATAGTCTTAGTTAGGAAAGAAAAGCAACACAAACGCCGTAGAAAGATGTATTTAACACCATTGGCAGATTCTAGTTAAAGATGTGTTGGATCAGAACATCATCTATGAATTACTATAGATTCTAAATGAAATATTTGATTTTCAAATGAATATTGAACTGGAATATGTATAATAATACATAATATGTATGTTCAAATGAATTAATCTGAAAACCTTCCACACTGACCCTTTGGGAAAAGTCAAACAGACTCAACAGAACTACTGACTGCTATTTATCAGCTCTCAGTCCCATCCCACTCATGATTGTCATCACACTGACACAGGAGAAGGACAGAAAGACATACCTTGCTAACATTCAGAGATGCTAGTGGGGGTGGGGTCTCGGTGCGGTCATTAATGATGTCCACATCAGAAACATAGGCTAAGTTGATCAGGATGACGTCGTTGAGGTTCGGCTTGCCACTGGAGGAAGCACATTCTTGGAAGGAACTAAAGTCAAGGCACACAACTTCATGACAATGCATCACAAGACAACATGACTATTGAGACCATCTGACCCCTCAGGAACCTGAACGCATGCAGAGGAGCACAGAGGAGCTGATGATACGGAGAACACTGGCCACTAACAGGCCGTGAGAGGTGGTGCCAGTTACTGAGGCAAGGGGGTGCACTTATTTCCAGCTGCAAAGAAAGTATTCATTTGCTGTAATATACAACTGACTTTAAGGGAAATTAACCAATGCTTACAGCTGGACTCATTTAATAAATTATTTAACAAATAAAATAAATGTAGCCATGGCAGCTTAAAGCGCACTAGTTTGCTTTTAGATTAAATCCTCCATTATTTTCCTAGAAATATACTTTTGAGTGAATGAACAGCAATACAGGTACATCACATTTATCAAAGTAAAAGGAGAATGTGGCAAATTAACTTCTATGAAAGTGTGGGGTTCTAAAAACCCTACAAATCTCAGGTATCGAACACACTTGCCTGGTGCGTAATACAGGAAGGGCTTGTCAGACTCGTCAATGTCATTCCAGTGTACAGCAGCCAGGCTTTCCACATATTTAGGTGAGATTTACAATATATTGAAGGCATTAGTTCACACAATGACCTTTACTTTTTTGGCTCACTGATCCAATAGAAACAAACAAGTCAGGGTCAGAATTTGACCTGTTATGACAGTGAAAGCATTACGTTTTGACTCAAGTGGCTTACATAAATTGGTCATACTTTCCATATTGCACACATTATGGTTTAATTATGAGCTGCATATGCTTAGATTAAATCTAAACTCCATTAAAAAAAGCTTAATAGAAATGTGCAGGCTGTTCTAGCTCATCATCTCATTCAGATGGTTTAATTATGAACTAATTAGACTCATGTTGATTCAGTTTTTCTTGGAAGGGACTGAAGTGTCACACAAACCGAAAGGCCTTTGATGCCAACTGTCAAACCATCGCTGTGCATCGACTTAATTCCTTTGGCGGTTCACTCCACTGACTTGACGTTAACTACACCTCAAAAATATACATGAATGTAAATCATGAGTGGGTCCAGCATTCCACCTAAATAATGTGCATTTTATCCGCACACATACACACGATCAATGGGTGTAGAAGATCACCAGCAAGCTAATGTTGGTTGTAATAAGCTACTGATTTATCTGCCCCTAGAATTCTGTTGAAATGACACAGAACTTTAACATATTTCACCCTATATTAACTCTACAATTACAGTTCCACAAGTGTCGGCTGGAGACGTGGGGGAAAAGGCCAGCTGATAAGCTCCGGAATGCTAATACCGTTAATTGAGCTAACGTTAGTAGCGGCGGTGTGGGGTTGACCGACAGTTAGCATGTTAGCCGAGCAACTAGCAACTTGATTGTAGCGTGGATAGGAACTCAGTGTCCATTTATCATTATGTTTTTGAAATCAATCGTTAGTTTGTCCAAAAGAAAGGCACCACAAACTACATACAGTAAATGTGTGCACGTGAGCCGGGGCGAGGTGCCCTGAATGTCAGATAGCTTGCTAACTAGCAACGGTTTGTGCCTGTTGAGAGCAAACAGCCATGATGCCTTACTAGGATTCGTTGCCAGATAGTGATCCATGTTGAGTTCTGGCAATACAATGAGTGGATTCACAACCCATGCTCTTTTAATGAGATAACGTGAAGCATTGGAATGACCCGATAATACATGCAATGCCTTTAACAGATGCAATAAGGATGGGCGACTACCTTAGAAGGGAACACATTTAAAACGGACAAAGATATGTAACTCAGCTACAACCAATTACGCCTGCGCGGATCACTATTTGACATATTTTCGGTTACCCTACAGGCCCTTGCAGCCAGGCAGGCCAGCGAGCCGGCCGCAGCTCGAAACAAACAAAGGATACTCAGAGTCAACATCTTGGACTGGTAGTCAAACGCGACCACTTCTCCTTGCAGACGTTGGCCCAAGCAGGTGAGGCAAGAGACATGGCTCCCGACGCTGAAATACTCCCCCGGTCCAGGAGCCGCCATCTTCTCCGCCAGGAAACCGGAGCGCCTGCCTTACGTAAAGCAACGCGATGTCGTAGTGAGGCGAAGCCGGGGCGTGTCGAAGTCAGTACGTCGCGTTACGGTCATTCAATCTAAAACGACGAATTATATTCACTAATGAAACTATGTTGTATCCATGGTTGTATCCCATGTATATCGTAAACCCGCATGATCCCTAAATAATAAAACTGTTTCAATTTTAGACTTTGTTCGAATATAACCTAAATCATCGAAGTACAAAGTTGTGGCTTTGTCTCCCATAAAGTGGCGCTCTCTATTCAAAGGGCTCCCCCTACCGGTGATGTGACGGCACTGCTAGCTTTGCTGCAGCCATCCCTGAAGAACTAAATGATCAGGATTACATTTTGATTATTTTCATTCACATCGAAGTAGTAGGAGTAGGACGCAGGCATGGAGGACATTCACACCCAAGGCATCTGGATGGCTGAAAGTCTCCAGAAGAGGACGATGAGCCAAGAAAAAATATGGCTGGTTATCACTCATATTGGAGATCCCAAAGCAGCCTTTCTGCTCGTCTTTCCTTTCGCATATTTCTTCAGCAAACGAGCTGGAGTAGCTGTGCTTTGGGTAGCGGCTATATCGGAGTGGTTAAACTTGGTGCTTAAATGGTAAGGCTACTCACGACACAACACATATGTTTGTAAGAACATGGTTTAATGCGGAGCTTCTCTTCTCTGTTTTGTTTTGTTATGTTAGGCATCTCAAACATATGTTAGCATGAAGCTAAACGTGGTGTTGACATTCAGATTTGTCAATGTTAGGTAGATACGCCGACTAGTATTGTGCTTTATCATTATTATGATATAAAAAAAAAAAAAAAAATGAAGTTGAAACAATTGTATTATTTATTTAGTTGTCGTTGCAGTTTCGAGACCTAAGGCAATTGCAGTTCAACCCCGTCTACTGTCCGATGTGAAACAGATAAAAGGCGGAACCTTTTATATGCAGCAGTACAATTACTCCAGGCATTTTGTAGTAGATACAATTACAAAATATATTTAACATTGGTAACGGATCACAAGAGCATACTACGAATAGCTATCATAAATACTTTAAAAAACCAACAACAGATTATTTACACAACTGTTATTGTAGGATGTAAACTGTTCAGAAAGAGATGGGACTTAAGGACAGGGTACTCAAAATTGAAAGTCAAATAAGTATGAAATGATTGCCGGATAAACAATGTTTGGACAAACAAAGTATCTTTAATATACAGTACAAAGACTAACTGAAGTAATGTTGTTTCACCATGTGGTACAGTTGGTGAACACAGACCAAATGGATATACAATTGCATTATTCTACTTAATGTTTTGTGAACTGATTTCTTTACTAGGATGCTGTTTGGAGAAAGGCCATTCTGGTGGATAGGGGAATCACGTCTGTTTGTCAACAGAGAACCAAACGTTCTCCAGTTTTCCTCAACATGTGAAACAGGCCCAGGCGAGCAGTCATTGAATTCAACATATTTTAATTTCTGTATAAGTCATAGAACGTAAACTTAATTCAGTGCAAAGTCAGAGCTCTAAAGCTGAACTCCGTCTCTCAGGGAGTCCGTCGGGACATGCGATGGTGACGGCAGCAGTCTGGTGGGTCGTGGTGTCCACACTGGGGTCCTTCCTGTACTCACGGACTCACAGGTATGCCCACTTCAGATAAACAAAAATAAAAGATGCACAGATCAAACAAGTGGAGATCATCAGAGCTATTATTTCCCAAATGAATCCCGTTATTTGTGCGTCTGCAGTGTGGTGTTATCGGCCGCTCCCTACCTGCTGTATGTGGTGATGCTGGTGGCCGTTGGAATGTCCAGGATCTTCATCCTCGCCCACTTCCCTCACCAGGTCATCGCTGGCTCCATCACAGGTCTGAACACAGTTTGAAGCACCTGCTAGAACATGGATTGTGTGTAGGGCATATGTGTAAAATCCTCTACCTCTGTCTTTATAATTGTACATAAAAAAATTGATGCATGCACAGCAGAACGTTGCTTAGCGTACTTCGTCTGTTTCTCAAACCAGGGGTGTGCCGATGGCCATCTACTGTAGGTTATACACTGACTATTGATACGGGTGTGATGTGGATATGACAGTACCTTTTACAACCCCACTCTAAATATGGAATTATCAATGAAATACTCAAAACTGTCCATAATTACCATAAAACCTTGGACTCTTTGATTTGTAACAATTCCCACTGTAGCTAAATCCACTTTTCAGACCAGTTTTAAAGGAATGGAAAAATATTTTAGGTTAAACGTAGATATATTGTCTAACAATAGATTTCAGCATACCATGGAGGTAATTTTCCAAACAAATAAAGAACAAACTTTTTTTAACCTATTGAGTTCTTTTGTAAGGCTTCATTCTGGGGGTGGTCCTGAGCCGCAGAGTACCTGAAGGTCGCCCCCTGCTGTTCTTCTTCAGCTTCAGCATGGGCCTGCTGCTCGGCACTCTGCTGCTGCATGCTGGACTGCAGCAGCTGGGAGTGGACCTCTCCTGGTGAGTCTTTCTATAACATGTATGTGTATTGATGAGTCTTATCATTGTATAATAAGCTCTGTGAGGTGAAGCTGTACGTTGTTCTTGTTTCTATCTATTCCACAGGTCTATTACTTTGGCTAAGAAGTGGTGCAGCCATGCAGAGTGGATCCGTTTGGACACGGCCCCGTTCTCCTCTCTGACTCGAGACTGCGGGGCCCTCCTGGGTTTGGGGCTGGCCCAGTACTGGAAGCCTGGAGGGTGGTCTCTGCCCTGGGCCCCTCGGGCTCTGTCTCTGGCCATTTCCTCCATGGGACTGTACCACGTCAACCGTCTGCCCCTCCCGGTGCAACCTCAAGGCCTCTTCTATAGCCTGTTCTTCATCAAATTCGTCATTGTGCCTCAGGTTGTCATAGTGCTGGTGCCCGGACTGGTTTACCTTTTCACGCACAAAAAGAAGAAGGACTAGAAACTACAATAAGGACTTTAGATTCCTTCTAGGTTTCTGTAGGCACCTTTAATGTCTGTCTATTTTCACATTCATGGTTGTGTTAGATACTCCAAATGAGTTTTTGTTCTCTTATAATTCACATGGCAAGAGTCTTCAGGTTGTTACTTCATGCTCCTTCATTCTTGGCTTTCATGTTACTGAATTCTTGGTGTTTAATCTGATTTGAATTCTCTTCACATTTGAAGTGAATCTATATACAGCAATAATAAGTGTTGATAAGGTGTTATTAGGCCTCAAATAAAATGTTACCAGACTTGAAAACCTAAGTTACCAGGCTGTAGAAAAACCTCTTGTTGATCCTTTGCACTTAAAGATTAGGCCAAGGAAGGAAAATATCTGGTGAATCAGAAAACGTTTTTCTTCATGAAAGTCAGGACCTTTGTTCATGAAAATACTAGACATGGTTAAAACAGCCAAGAAACTTCAAACCTACAATCATTGAGACTTTACGATCTTCAAGAACATTTAGAAATGGTTAATGTTACCTAAGAAAGGTCAAAAGGGTTTATCAATGCATAACAATGCAGCAGAATCTGAAATACCTTCTTTGTTTATTCTACACTCTCCGTTCCTGTCAAAACCTGGTGCATATATTACCCACAATGCAATTCAACCACCAACAGTTTGCTTCAGACAGGTGTGCTATGCTAGTAATGGCAAATATAGCCTCAAGCCATTAGCTTACAGCAGAGATGATGTCACTTGAGGGAGTTAATCATATTTCTCGCCGCTCTGTTGATAGTGAACAGACTTTGATGTGTAAAATAAGTACACCAAGATGTTTGAAAGTCCACAATGTTAGGTATAAGGTAACATTCTGTGCAAAATTAAACATTAAAAGACTTAGATTGATCATATCCACGGGAAAAAACACCATATTCGGCCCAAAAAGGTGCTGCTACTTTGGTTGAAAGGTCAAAGATGGTTGAACACTTAACACTATAACACATGTATTTCTGGGAGTCGTATTGCATTGCACAGAAGGTTGGTACTCTGTCGTCACACTGCTTACATTTAGTTTTGTGGACCAAAATCCACCAAATTACCCGTGTATGTAATATACAATTATTCAGTAAAATAAACGACTGACATGCAGGCCGTGTTTCAGTTGGTAACCATTTATAAATATGTTCTTTTTTTTCTCCATTACATAGGTTTGACTGTACAGATTACAATCAGTTATCATGAGATAAAAACACATTCTTTTTTATTGTTTTTAATTAAACTTTTTATCACAGCGATCTGAAAGCTCACATTTACAGACAAGAGAACTCTGCTCAGCAAGCAAATACATTAAAATAAAAATAAAAGGAACCGTTTGCTTTTTGTCTGGTGGGGTTGAAGGAAAATGATAAGGACAGTTCAGGTAGCAGTCTCCTTATCTTCATCCGGACGTCGTACCACACCAGGGTCAGAACACCGCTATACATGTTTCTGCTCGAGCTCATGGAAAGAATATAACATGCATAAGACTATTTACAGCAAACTAATATACATAGACAGCTTCAAACCATACACCCTCATCTTAGAAGTATCCTTAAATTAAGTATAATACAGTTTATACCTTCATTTCTGTAAAGATAAGTAGGGCATCTCTCCGGTGAAACCTCTTTAGATATTCTTTATCAGAGAAACCAAAATAAAACGTTACAGACAAATGGTCTATAACTTTTCCCACATATACAAATAACTTGGATATTCTCATTATTCCACTTTTTCCACCACCTAAACTCCAAATATGGAGTTTTCTGGGCGCTGAAACTTCAGTCATATTTTCTTTTTTGTTGCAGTAGATTTGACTTTATTTCAAGGTGTGCAAGACCAGTGGATTAGACTGGCTTAGTTAGAGACTAATGGATATTTCCTTTATGATTCTTAAATATGATTTGCCTCTTGACCTGCTTCACCCACAAACCCGAGAGGAATCAGTATATACAACTTGTGCTAGAAAGTCTATACATCTTCACCAGTTTAAAAACATTGGCTGCTCTTCATGTTGTCATTCATCACTGCTTTGTAAATCATA